GTCTGAGTATTTCAGAAACTGCTAATCTACTGGGATTTTCACGCACAACCATCTCTAGGGTTTACAGAGAATGGTCCGAAAAAGAAAAAACATCCAGTGAGCGGCAGTTCTGTGGGCGGAAATGCCTTGTTGATGCCAGAGGTCAGAGGAGAATGGCCAGACTGGTTCGAGCTGATAGAAGGGCAACAGTGACTGAAATAACCACTCGTTACAACCGAGGTATGCAGCAAAGCATTTGTGAAGCCACAACACGCACAACCTTGAGGCGGATGGGCTACAACAGCAGAAGACTCCACCGGGTACCACTCATCTCCACTACAAATAGGAAAAAGAGGCTACAATTTGCAAGAGCTCACCAAAATTGAACAGTTGAAGACTGGAAAAATGTTGCCTGGTCTGATGAGTCTCGATTTCTGTTGAGACATTCAGATGTTAGAGTCAGAATTTGGCGTAAACAGAATGAGAACATGGAACCATCATGCCTTGTTACCACTGTGCAGGCTGGTGGTGGTGGTGTAATGGTGTGGGGGATGTTTTCCTGGCACACTTTAGGCCCCTTAGTGCCAATTGGGCATCGTTTAAATGCCACGGCCTACCTGAGCATTGTTTCTGACCATGTCCATCCCTTTATGGCCACCATGTACTCATCCTCTGATGGCTACTTCCACCATGTCACAAAGCTCTAATCATTTCAAATTGGTTTCTTGAACATGACAATGAGTTCACTGTACTAAAATGGCCTCCACAGTCACCAGATCTCAACCCAATAGAGCATCTTTGGGATGTGGTGGAACGGGAGATTCGCATCATGGATGTGCAGCCGACAAATCTGCGGCAACTGTGTGATGCCATCATGTCAATATGGACCAAACTCCCTGAGGAATGCTTCCAGCACCTTGTTGAATCTATGCCACGAAGAATTGAGGCAGTTCTGAAGGCAAAAGGGGGTCCAACCCGTTACTAGCATGGGGTACCTAATAAAGTGGCCGGTGAGTGTAGATACATATCAAAATCTTTCTTAAAAATGAAAAAAGGAGTTTTCTTTGAAAATTTACACTTGTGAATATAAAATTTGGCAAGAAAAAGTAGCAAGTAAAGAACAAATTTAAAATGAAAGGGGTCTAATTTAAGAGAGTCACCAAAAAACACATTTGACAGAAGTCAACCCAAAAGATTTTGCTATACACACATTCCCAAAACAAATGAATAATTGTCTCATCAAACTGATGACAAAAGGAGCGCAAGGGGGAAATACTATTATTAAATTTAGCAAATTTATAATTAACTCGGTAGCAATTGTGAATAATTTTAATAGAGACTTCAACCACTTTATTAGATAAAAATAATTTTTGCTGAAGGAGCCAGAAGTTCTCCCATACTATATCATCAAATGTATTTATCCAAAAGCTTACACAAGCAGGTAAAGAAATCTGATCTCTGTTAAGAATTGAGTGAATTTTCTTGTTTGACAAGCTGCTGAGAAGACATTGATCAACAAATAGATTAGTGTTGTCAAAAATAGGTGGAGAGCATGAAGGACCTTTAGGGCCAGGTGTAACTAAAGCTTTCACACAATCAGGAATTGCACCAAAAACAATGGCATATTCTCTTGGGGGAATTCTTGCATAAAGTGTTCATAAGAGAGCAAGAGTCATCCAAAAGTTGACCTACTAAAAGTATATTTTATCAAACCAATTAAAAAAATTGTTTTTATATTTAATATTTTGGTTGTTCCAAATATAAAATTATAATTATATATTAGGGATCAGCATATTAAAGCCTGTTTATGAAAACTAGAAAGAGTTAAAGGTATTTGAGAGATGTCATAGTTGCAGCGCAACAAAAAATGCAAATCTCCAACTGAACAGAAAATATAATTTGGGAATGCTATTCATTTCCTTCTCTGTGGGCCTCGAGATTTCGCGTAGGTTATACGTCACACACATCACACACGTGACCAGCGTCGGCCAATAGTGAGCCTACGTGTGACGTACAACCTTTTTTTTACAGTCTATGCGTACAACACAGAAGCGTTGCGCAGTCGAGGCCCACAGAGAAGGAAATGAATAGTTGAATAAAGTCGTTATTTTTGTTTGTTTTTTTGCACACAAAAAGTATTCTCGTCGCTTGATAAACTTAAAGATAGAGCTACTGTAGTCACTCGGACTATTTTAACGATATCTTCTAACTTTTCTGGGCCGGCCAGTTTCGATCCATTAGAGGCAGCTCTCAGATTTAATCAAAATATCTTAATTTGTGTTTCCGAAGATGAACGAAAGTCTTACGGGGTTGGAACAACATGAAGGTGAGTAATTACAGACACAATTTTCATTTTGGGGTGAACTAACTAACGAACTAGCAGTCGTTCTCAATCTTGGTCCTAGGGAGCCACTGCTCTGCACATTTTATATGTCTCCTTTATCTGACACACCCACTTCAGTTAATAAAGCTCTTTCCTAACGAGCTGATGATCTGAATCAGGTGTGTTAAATGAGGGAGACATACAAACTGTGCATAGCAGTGGCTCCCTAGGAGGACCAGGATTGAGAACCACTGCTTTAAAGCAATAAACTTTTTTTGGAGAAAGCAAGAATCCCCAGTTTTAAATGATTGGTTAGATTTAGTTTCTAAAGTACACTATGGAGAGGATAACATGAAATTAAGAGCAATAGTATACATTTTTAAAAGATATAGGCAACTCTAAAATCAAAGAATATTCCATAAAATATTTGTTGATGGACATTAGATGTGCCTTATTTAGAATTTTAAATCTACAAGTGTATTTTTATGATAGCAATAACTGAGATTCTTGTAATGGGGTAAATCAAATGTAGGCTAATATACTATAGGCCAATTACTAAACTAATTAATCCTACCAGTTCAAATTCAGTCTGTGCTTTTGTAATTATTTATTTTTAATTTTTGTGATTTTTAACTTCTGCTTTAAAAAGCTTTTCTTTATTTTAGATTGTAATGTTCTGTGTTATGTATGCATGTGTGTGTGTATATATATATATATATATATATATATATATATATATATATATATATATATATATATATATATATATAACATTAACATACACATTTCATATACAATATAATTGAAAAAATGTTTAGGTCTATATTGTCTCATTTATCATTGTAGCCTTATTTAAGATGATTTTCTGTATACTGTATATTTATTTTTGGACTGGTAGTGGTTAAAGTCAAATAATGGCATGCGAGAGTCAGTGGTAATATCATTGTGTTCCTGGTGTGTTCAATGTTATATGAACGGTGTAACAACTCAGGCTTAGCCTGACAGTTAGCCTGCCCTGGACCAGGTTAGTTTCCCAGCATAAGTTGCCAGAGTAACTTGAACTATTTTAAGTTTGCTTTATGAAACAGAATCAACTGACAATAAGTCTGACTAACCAAAATAAGCCTGGCTTGTATTCTAATCTTGTTTTATGGAACAGCCCTCTGGTTTCACACACAGGGCTTAGATTAAGCCAGGATTAAGTTCAATTAGGTCATTTGAGTAGCTTTTATAACCATGCCTTAAAAAAAACATTACCTGTGTGCATCTTTAATCAAAACAATGGCACTGACATATTTTAAGATCTGTCAGTGCAAGTTGCTTTCAGTTAAAACAGCTCAAACATTCATTTTAGTCTAGGACTAGATTTAAGCCTTGTCTGTGAAACCGGGGGAAGATGTTTTAAGTAGTGCGGACATGCAAAACCAGGCAAGCATGCGCATGTCACCCACTGATCTATATAATGACTGGATAGCTCATGACGTTCTAAACTGCCACCAGGCAGTGAAGCCACCGGAAGTGTTCGAGCGGCCATCTTACGATTCCCTACCAGCAGAGGGCTCCAACGGCCGTTATACAGAGATAGGTAGCTCCGACGGCACTTTTAAGATGACCCGCTGCGCATCAACAAGTGTAAAACGAAGATCACAAAAGTATCTTGAAAAACTACTCACAGGTTGTACTTTAAGCCCATATATAGTAATTTATATGCACAATTGTCGCTATTTCCGTGTTGTTTAAAACAAATGTATAGCCTACTATGCATTCTTTCACAGACGTAACGTTATTCAAGTTTAAACCCAATAAACGTATTATTCAATGCATTACGTCTTATAAATTTAATTAAATGCATATATTTAATATTTTCATGTCAATCCGTGTTCAGTTTGACCACGAACCATGCGCTGTCACTTTAATTCAGCGCCTGCAGCACAAACGATCTCTGCACGCACCGCACAGGACGGGCATCCGCGTGCAGTGAAAGCTCCAACCTGTTGACATGGGTATGGTAAAAAATATGCACTGCAAACGGAGTAGGCCTATGTGTAAACCCCTTATTTACAGTGCACACATCTGCGGCGCATTATGGCTCCGACAATGTTTTATAACTTCCTACCTTCACGCGGTGTCAACTCACACCGGGAGCATTTCCACGTGATTTGCCGATTTGTGGGCGCGATCAGCTCCGGTAGCCGTGTCGCAGCTGTAAACGCGCCGCAGACGTGTGCAGTGTAAATAAGGGGTAAATAAGAGGTGAAACAGGTGTACATTAACCCATACAATTTGTATTATGCATTTCCTGGACATGTTCTTGCTAACTAATCAAATACTTGAACAGACTACTGGTCTATCTGTAAAACACAATCAGAAAGAGCTAAATTTTAAGTTCACAATTCACATATACTTAATTTTTAGTAAGCAGGAATAATTTCCGACTTTAAACAAATACCCATTTAAATGCTTAGGATGTTTGTGTTGTAAGACTGTTCAGGGAGACTTAAGATTTAAAGACGGTGTCTCGTTATGCAGTGTTTTCTCAGTCAAATCATACAATTTCCCATTGATTCAATAGAACGCGTGAGCTCACTAGGGAATCACAATATGGCGGCGCGGTGGCTTCACTGTTTATGACGTCATGAGCTATCCAGTCATTAGATCAGTGATGTCACCTAGCACTCCTCAGCGCGCGTGCGCGCGCATCTCCTCCCTCTCTTCCGAAAACTCCTTTCTTTTCAGTCTAGGGAAAACTCTAGAGGCAGCCCGGTTTCCTGCTCTGCGAAGATGATCATACTTTGCTTAACAATATTTGCGAACGTTTTCAAGACGGGTAAGTAGTGCCTTATAGAAGTCTAAGTCGTTTTATTAGCTAAACAAAATTTTAAGTGATGGAACAACTGCAAGCAGTCCTCATGTCGGCGGCTTATTTTAATTCATCTCGAGTTATTGTTTGCTAGGCTGACTATCAGATGCACACGTTACAGCGCTACGTATGTACGCCTATGGCAAGCCGTTTTAGCTTTAATTGTACCCAGCCTTACTCGTCGTAATTACATTTTTACTAGTAATAATTCAATTAGAGAGCTCTACAATTCAATTATTACTAGTAACAATTACAATTAGAGAGCTCTCTAATTCAATTATTACTAGTAACAATTACAATTAGAGAGCTCTCTAATTCAATTATTACTAGTAACAATTACAATTAGAGAGCTCTATAATTGAATTGTTACTAGTAAGAATTACAATTAGAGAGCTCTCTAATTCAATTCTTACTAGTAACAATTATTATTAGAGAGCTCTCTAATTCAATTATTACTAGTAAGAATTACAATTACAGAGCTCTCTAATTCAATTCTTACTAGTAACAATTGCAATTAGAGAGCTCTACAAATGAATTTTTACTAGTCATATGTCTCCATTGACTTCTATTCATTTTTAATTAGAGAGCTCTATAATTGAATTGTTACTAGTAAGAATTACAATTAGAGAGCTCTCTAATTCAATTATTACTAGTAAGAATTACAATTAGAGAGCTCTCTAATCCAATTCTTACTAGTAACAATTACAATTAGAGAGCTCTCTAATTCAATTCTTACTAGTAACAATTACAATTAGAGAGCTCTCTAATTCAATTCTTACTAGTAAGAATGCAATTGCAGAGCTCTCTAATTCAATTATTACTAGTAAGAATTACAATTAGCGAGCTCTCTAATCCAATTATTACTAGTAACAATTACAATTAGAGAGCTCTCTAATTCAATTCTTACTAGTAAGAATGCAATTACAGAGCTCTCTAATTGAATTTTTACTAGTAAAAAAACAAATTAAAGATATGTATAATTGCAGAGCTCTGTAATTGAATTAAAGAGCTCTGCAATTGCATTCTTACTAGTAACAACTGAATTAGAGAGCTCTCTAATTGGAATTCTTACTAGTAATAATTGGATTAGAGAGCTCTCTAATTGGAATTCTTACTAGTAATAATTGGATTAGAGAGCTCTTTAATTGCATTCTTACTAGTAACAATTGAAATAGAGAGCTCTCTAATTGAATTAAAGAGCTCTGCAATTGAGTTGTTACTAGTAAGAATTGAATTAGAGAGCTCTATAATTGAATTGTTACTAGTAAGAATGCAATTAGAGAGCTCTATAATTAAATTACAGAGCTCTTTAATTGTAATTGTTACTAGTAACAATTCAATTAGAGAGCTCTACAATCAAATTGTTACTAGTAAGAATTGAATTAGAGAGCTCTCTAATTGTAATTGTTACTAGTCATAATTGGATTAGAGAGCTCTCTAATGGAATTGTTACTAGTAACAATTGAATTAGAGAGCTCTCTAATGGTAATTCTTACTAGTAACAATTCAATTGTAGAGCTCTCTAATTGTAATTCTTACTAGTAACAATTCAATTAAAGAGCTCTGTAATTAAAAATGAATGGAAGTCAATGGAGACATATGACTAGTAAGAATTCATTTGTAGAGCTCTCTAATTGGAATTGTTACTAGTAAGAATTGAATTAGAGAGCTCTGCAATTGTAATTGTTACTAGTAATAACTCAATTAGAGAGCTCTCTAATTGTATTTTCACTAGTAAGAATTGAATTAGAGAGCTCTCTAATTGTAATTGCTACTAGTAAGAATTGAATTGTAGAGCTCTCTAATTGAATTAAAGAGCTCTGCAATTGCATTCTTACTAGTAAGAACTGAATTAGAGAGCTCTCTAAATCAGTTTTTACTAGTAATAATTGCATTAAAGAGCTCTCCTAATGTAATTCTTACTAGTAAAAACTGATTTAGAGAGCTCTCTAATTTAATTCTTACTAGTAAGAATGCAATTGCAGAGCTCTTTAATTGAATTAAAGAGCTCTGCAATTACATTCTTACTAGTAAGAATCGAATTAGAGAGCTCTCTAATCGCAATTGTTACTAGTAAGAATTGAATTAGAGAGCTCTCTAATTGTAATTGCTACTAGTACGAATTGAATTGTAAAGTTCTCTAATTAAATTTTTACTAGTAAAAATGAAATTACAACAAGTAAGGCTGGGTACAATTTAAGCTAAAACGGCTTGCCATAGTACGCCCATAGTGCTATGCTTTAGGAGAGGTTGTTAGGCATAAGGTGATGCGAAGTAAAAGCAACATGCAGTAACGCAAGCATTTCGCTTTAACACATGCGGCCCAAAGACGTCATTCGTCTTCATAAATAGGTTACCACCTAAAATGTGTTTTGGGTCCTAGTCTACTCTGTTAACGAATTAGCACGTGATATTGGTCATTAACATAAACATTAATAATCTGAGTAATAAAAAAACGGCTAATAAAATGCTTTCTCTCCTTGTTCTTGACTTGATCCAATTGTTCCTGCGATTGGTTCTTCAGTGTTTGCTGACCCGTGATTGGTCCGTGTGGTGTGCAGGAGTAGCGCGCTCTCGAGACCGCTGCACAGCTTATAATAATGGGTTCTAAAAGGTCATTATCCGACACAAAAGAGCTCGTGGTCGCGGATTTAGCGGCAAAACAATCGACGATTATTGAATCAGGTATGCAGAAGAATATGTGCTATTGTAGAATATGTAATATTTTGTTCTGCAGGGACCTTGAACAGTAATCGATTGCGCTAAAACGATATTGACTAACTGTTAACTTACTTCTATAACGTTACGCTTTTCATAAAGTTTACTAATATTTATTTGCAAGTAAATAAAAATAATACATTTGAAATGGAACTGCGTTCTGAGTCAACGTCAGTTATTTTTGTGACCTACACAGGTGGCGAGGGATAAGAGGTTTAATGCTTCGGTATTAATAGGAGGATATAGGGCATATTCTACTTTCATCATTTTTTTTAATGTGTATATCGAGTATGATTTTTATGCGTATGTTAAGCAGTACCACCAAATATATCTGTACGATATATTTTTTATTAGGGACAATGTACAGCCAGTCAAATATATAACTTGGATACTAACCGAATAAACAAATAAATGGAAATAAAATATGAATTTGTTTTATTATATTGACCGCGGATAGATCGAGCGCAAGCACAGTTATGTAAGTTAGTCATTATTCACACACACACACACACACACACACACACACACAGAGTGTTGTGTTTTCGCGTTTTATCGTGACCTTCCATAGACATAATGGTTTTTATACTGTACAAACTAAATATTCTATCCATTTACACTAACCCTACCCCTAAACCTACCCATCCATCACAGAAAACTTTTGCATTTTTACATTTTCAGAAAACATCACTTAGTACAATTTATAAGCTGTTGTCCCCATGTCATGATGACCAAAAAATGTCCCCACAAGGATTTCTGATATTGCCATTTTTGTGGTGACATTTTGTCCACATAATTGACCAATCAGAATGGAGTATGTGTAATAAATTAGAATACCACTCAAACTAACTTCTGCAAGATAGACCTGTTTTATTTTTTGTAGGAAAGTACTTAAAAAAAAAAACAAGTGATGTCATTGAGTAGTTGAGGGGGTTTAAAAGGGTTTAATTTCAGATATGGTTTTCAGGATGGACTGGCTCAAACGAGCGCACGTTCATCGCAGTGAAGCCTGATGGTGTTCAGCGCAGACTGGTGGGTGAGATCATCCGGCGCTTTGAACGAAAGGGTTTCAAACTGGTCGGCATGAAGCTACTGCAGGTGAGACCACCACTGGAGTATCTTTCACTGAGCTTTCATAAAGAAAATGAATAATATATCATAAGAAATATATCATCTGCATTAATACAGTATATGCTTGTAGGCATCAGAGGAGCAGCTCAAACAGCACTACCGGGACCTGAGGGAGAAGCCTTTCTACAGCAACTTGGTCAAATACATGAGCTCAGGACCCATTGTTGCTATGGTAAGAAACACATTGTCTCCCTATATAGGTCCAATATGATTTCTGTACTTATGCTGCTATGCTGTTGCTATGAAGATGTCTAACTTCAACACTTTACGTGTCTGTATTTATATATGTTTTATTAGGCATGGCAAGGGCATGATGTGGTTAAGTCCGCCAGAAAGATGCTTGGAGAGACAAATCCAGCAGACTCTCTCCCAGGCACTATCAGAGGAGACTTTTCCGTGGAAGTGAGCAGGTTAGTGTGAATGTGCATGTTTGACTGGATGGATGGACAACTGGATGGGTGGATGTTAAATTGTTTTTCTTGTGCAGGAATGTGGTCCATGGCAGTGATTCAGTTGAAAGTGCTCAGAGAGAGATCTCGCTGTGGTTCGAGCATCACGAGTTGCTCTGCTGGGAAGAGAGCAGTCAGCACTGGATCTACGCCTGAAAGCCATCATGTTGCACTCGTCGTAACATACAGCTTTTGCAGCTTCGTCTGCATCTGATACCTGCTGCTCTGCTCAAGCCATAGTGACCAAAATAATAAAGCAAAAGGTAGCTTATGTTGACATTTGTCTGGATCACTGAAATCAAGTCATTGGTCAAGCTATTTTTGAATGTGACCATTTTCTTACTGCTTTACTCATGCTATTGTTAACATTTTAAGGGTTTCTTTGCAGATATTCACTTGGTTACTAATATTTGGTGGGTTGGTAAGTCAGGCACTACTCTAAAGTTAATTAGTGTTTATATCCTTTTGAAAGACATTGTTTACATTTTCACATTCAACTTTTGATATGGGCATGCTTCTTGTCATCTTGATGCACTATGTAAAAATACATTTATTATTCATGACTAAAAAGCAATAATGAATGACAAAGGGCCAGCTTGCTCTGAACAACTTAAATATCCCAATTTGCTTTAGTCTAGTGGTTGGAACTCACTTGACCAAACTTTACTCTACAAATAAATTATTCCTTTCTTCATTGGTCTTTGTGTGTATTATTTTGTGTAAACTATACCATTCAAAAGTTTGGGGGTCGGTAAGATTTTTAAACATGTTTTTAAAACATTCTCTTATGCTCACCAGAGCTGCATTTGATCAAAAATACAATATAAACAGTAGAATTGTGAAATATTATTAGAATTTAAAATAACATTATAGAAAAATTCTTTGATGAATGCAAAGTTTGAAAGAAGAGCATTGATTTGAAATAAATCTTTTGTCACTTTTGATCAATTTAATGCGTCCTTGCTGAATTAAAGTATCAATGTATTTCAACAACAAAAAAACCTTGAACGGTAGAGTATTTTACTCTTAAATGTATTTGTGTTAATAAAGAATTGATTAAATTATAGCATTGAAGACAGAAGCATTCAGCACATAAACATTTATTTCTTAATACTTAACCACACAGAGAACATAGAGTGATGATTTACATACAAGGCGACTGGGCGGGACGTCCATCTCTTTCAAACCTGCAGCCAATCGAAGGCTTCAGTTCAGCTGTTAACCTCATGCTTAATCCAAAAGGGAAGTTAGCAGGTCCAGTCAGCACACATTTCACTTTGGTTGAAAAAGGGCTAGCTGCAACTGGTTAAAGTGATTTTGCGTGCTTTTTATTAATCAATTTAGTTGAATATTCTTTTACATATTTACTTAATGAACTGAAATGACATTGGGACATGTTTGGGTTGTGCTAGATTACCCACAAATCCTGGCCACCATTTATTTGATTATCCTCACATATTCAATCATTTCTCTATGCAGTGCATGATGTATTCCAGTATTTACATAAGTCACTTTTGCATTTTCCTTTTTGTATTCAATATTCATCTAGCTGGTCTTTTCAAAATGATTCTGCTCATCTCTGAAACTCTGAGATCACGATGAGTTCATATCATTGAGTGACCTGTGTGCTGAGGGACTGTAAAAACAAAGGTCACGGTATTTGGCAAAAACTGGGTAGTTCTTTCAGGAACGTAGTTTGGTATTGTTTAAGCTGTTTATATGCATTTCATTTGAAATTGCCATTCAGTCATAAGTTGCAGGAAGTTCTTGAACCTTGTGTTTTTGTTGGAAAGGGAATGTTACAGGGTGGATTGAAGGATCGTACAGGTAGTTATAATTGAGGGTAGGAAAATACAGGCTGAAGGGTTCAATATAAGACTTTAAAGGGGTAGTTACAAGGCCGTGGTAGTTACATAGCTTAGGTACAGAATTCGGGGCATAGTTACAGAAAGGATTCATACTTTTATCTTTGGGGGCGGAAAGGGGGGCAAGGCAGGAGGTGTCTGTCCGTGTTACTCCGGAACATAAGACACCTGCCACACAATGATATGACTCCTCTCTGCTTTAGACAACGCTGGCTTCATCTGAGGAGCTTCACTATCCGCTTCCTCTGTCTCATCCTCACCATCACCTGAGAATGACAGAATGAATAAGTTATGAGTTTATGACCCGATGTACATGCTAATTTTGCTTATCAATTGCTTCTCACCAATGCGGAAGTCAATATAACCCTCTCCTCCACTCAGCACCAGTACGTTTTGAAGACTCTGAGCTTCTGTGTCCGCTGGGGCTGAGGACCCCTGAGACTCTGATGGGCTGTCCAACACGCTACCATTCAGGGTGGCCAGCACATTGCCTGGAAACAAAAGATGACATGTTTTGGGACTGACACAGCTCACAGCATATAATATACTATTATTGATTTGACACTCACCTGGCACTGACACAAAGAACTTGACGGCATCTCGGTGTCCATGAAAACAGAGTTGAGCTTGGGCCATGGAACAGTATGGTATGAAGCTACTCTTCTCAGAGTTACTGTCATCCGCATATACATGGATCACGCCCCCTGACGATGTGGGTGACACCTTATTGGCTACAAGAGAACAGAACCCAGCAATCATAAAGCGCAATGACCAATCGCAGAAACTCACAGGAACTGCTAGAGCTTAGGTAAATAAATGAATCTGCTGAAGAGGAAAACTGTAATAAAGAGCTCACAGCATGCAAAAAAAATATCCATGGATAAAAATTACAACAAAATATAAAACCACTAAAAACAATTTACTGAAAAAAGTAATGAAAGAAGGATATGCTGTATATACATATATAGACATACATATATACATTTATCTGATAAATATGTATATGTGGATTTATATTTATATGACTCTACATTTCCCTGTTGAAAATAATGAAAAAAATGAATATAAACAATAAATATAGTAATGCACAGAGAAATAAGTCATCATGACCAAAACATGCTAAAACCACTGAAAGAAAGAAAGTTGATTGAACGATGGAATAAATGAAAGAAGACCAAGGTGTTCCCAAAAGAAGTGTGATGTAACTGATCTTACAAGAATGACAGTCGTAACGCTCCACACTTACCCCTCAGTCCCAGGAGCTGCCCTCGATGAAGAACTACGGCTACAAGAAGGAGGAAGTGGGAAGGGGAACAAGGCAGGGGAAAAGAGCAACACTTATAAGACAGAGCAAAAGAGGGTAGTGGTACAATAGAGAAAAAGGAACAAAGAAGAAAAGCTAGAAAGGAGATGACAAGAGGCAACACAGGGTTTGTTGGGTAATTAATGGATTAATGAGGTTGGCCTAGCGGTTAATGATCTGGGATGATGACATTAAAGTTTGCAGGTTAATCCCAGGGTGTTGGCAACCCAATGAGCTGAAGAGTTAGTGAGATTCAAGCCTCTTTACTAGCTTAACCGGCAAGACTTCATTGGCTAGCAAGCTTCAGAATAAAGACCATGCTGGTCGACCAATGACAGGGACATGTTTTGGTTGATCAATGGAAAGGGAAAAGGTTAGGATAATCATGTGAACACTGAAGTGTGTGTGCAAACAAACTCGCCCCAGACTTACTTTCAGTCAAAGGGATTGAGATGATGACACCATTTCCAGTCCCCACCCACAAGCGGTTTCCTCCAATCAGCAGGGCAGTTATCCTGACAAAAGAGAAGCCCAACTTTCCTGTACCTGTCAATCACAGACAACACAGCAGAATGTAAAACATTTATATTGTGACTACCGATCTTTTATATATAATGTATTAGGCTAAATGTTTCCATCAATAAATTAATATAATAATTAATTAACAATACATTTAAATAATAATAAAGTTATTTTACTATAGTGTAAACTTTCAGTTGAACTGCTTTTAAGGATCTGGAGAAATAAAATAAAATAAAATATTATTTTGCCAAGCTAAGCCTTAAATGCTAAGAGGAGGTAATTCAGCAAACATCTTATGTCACTACTAAACTAATCTCTAACCAGAACCTATAAATAAGAAGTGTCGAAGTCCCAGAAGCAAGTGTTACCCAGCATCTTGCTGACGTAAGGCTCGATATCCACGTCTTGTAGATGCTGGTGTGTGAGTGCGTGGTATAAGCGGAGCGTGGAATCCAAACGGATTGACACCCAGACACCATCACCAATCCATGCCAGCTGCCTCACCTGGCTCTCCTTGCGTGGGTGAGCGTCAAATGATTTCTATATGAAAGAGAGAGAAACATAAAATAAAATAAAAGTCCCAAGACAAAGGTTGTGATGAGGACATAACATTCGCTGTCTGAGACTCGCCTCAATCTGCATGCTCTTGGGCTGGATCACATGGATCTTGTTCTTGTTACCACACCAGACTTTGTCATGAACCACAGCCATGCATCGAATGGAGTGGTGGGGTCTTCCCAGATCCATTAGATGATAGTTGGATAGATCCCATTGTCCATCTATGTTTACATTTCACATTATGGAGAGCATGAATAAAAATATTTACAGCAAAATCCTGCTTTAATAATAAATGACAGTTATTTTTCTAATAAGTTGATGAAAACCTTCAGCTCTGTGGAAGATTGCAAGTGTTCCATCAGCTAATGCAACCAAAACTCTCCCCTTCACATGTCTGAAGCACAAAGAGACAAAGACAGAGGAAATTATTACAGAATTTTTCATATACCTTGTGATACTAGTTATTGGTCTATATGGTCTATACTTGTTATTGGTAAACATGTAAACAGTAGTATATACTGTATATATATATATATATATATATATATATATATATAAATATATACATACTACTGTTCTAAAGTTTGGGGGACAGTAAGATTTTTACATTTATTCAGTAAGGATGCATTAAATTGATCAAAAGTGACAGTATAAACTTTTACACTCTTACAAAAGATTTCTATGTCAAAAAGATGCTTATGAACTTGAGCATTATTTTATTCAATTTTGAGCAGTTTTATATCAATTTTATTCAACATTGGTAATAAGGAAAAATATTTCTTGAGCAGCAAATCATCATATTAGAATGATTTCTGAAGGATCATGAGACACTGAAGAGGGGAGTAATGATGCTAAAAAATCAGTTTTACCATCACAGGAATAAATTACATTTTAAAATAGATGTAACAGTTCTTTTAAATTTGAATAATATTTCAAAATATTACTGCTTTTACTGTATTTTCGAACGGTAGTGTTCATTAGGATTCTACTTACACCAAACTCAGTACAGAGTCTTTGAGTTTGATTGAATGGAGGCATTTCTTCCAGTTGGACACTGCAGAGTGGACATAAAGCCTGTGGACAGAGTTTACAGTGTATGTTACAGGGTGTGTATAATGATTGAAATGGAATTATGACTTTATAATGTGAAAATACATTAGAAGATGTAATGCCTACCAGCCGTTTTGGGCTCCCAGCCACATGGTTGGGGCAGCACTTGTTCCTGCCCGATCGTCTCCTGCCTCTTCTGAGTCTGTGGGGGCTGATGTCACTTGCTCCTTTGGCACACCTGCCTCACTGATGGCAGAACACACAGAGTAGACCATTTCAATTCAACACATCATTTATGAAAGTCAAGGGCGTAGGTTTGATTTTGATATTGGTGGGGACATCACCATTTTTGCACATACGATAGATTTTTTTATTTTTTTT